ACTTTGGGAGACCCATCCACTTGCATTATGTGGACTCACAAAGAAGGATATTTTCTCTGAAATTCTGTTTGTGTTCCTCAGAAGAAAGAAAGTCATCTAGGATGGCATGAAAGTGAGTGAATGATGAGAAGTATCCCTGTACATTTGAGCGCTCCGTTCCAAAACCTTGTGAGCTGCCTCACTTGTCTTTTAAGCTTTCTATTCAAAATGAAACCGTTTTACATAGGTAGCAACAATATTAAATGTCAATGATCAGCACAAATAACTCACAATTGATTCCAATTGCATTTGGCAAGATGGGATGTTGTGAAAAATACATATAGCACATGCACTTGTGTGAAAGTGCATTTTTAATAAGATAACAATTTTGATTAATACATTTTTATAATATATACAGCAAGTATATTTATATAAGGGTTGCTCTTTATCCGCCATTTGTGATCATATTTTCATCACAATGCATTCTGGGATTGCGTTATCCATAAGGTATACAGTAACTGTGAAGCCTCAGAATCTGGCCAAAATAAGGAATTTTATAATGCAGCATAATCTTACTGCTTACTGACAGGAACAGCCTTTGAATCGCCAGTATGCATATACTTTAAGACTTGGGGACTCACTTTGGTTTGGAACAGAGCCATAGACTAAGAATAATAGGAGAACATAAAGAGGAGAACTTATAGAACGTATACAGTACATAGGGGTTGTTCTTATATAGTCAAATTAAATCAATGATCCATTAAAGACTAAATTGTTTGACAGACTTCCAATATGGTCAATACACTTGCATGCATTGGAATTTAGAGAAAAGTCACAATTAATATATGTAACATACGTACAGAAGCACATAAATAATTATTCTGAGGAAGGGAGAACACAGTAAAGCAATGTAAAGAGTTTCATAAATGAATACTACCCTTCTACAATATATTTATTTTTCAGTTTTGTTTAATGTTCAACAGAGCTTGGGTACATAAAGTTCAGTCATGCCTTCACTAACTGAACAATATGTTTTGGAGGATAATGGTTCATGACTAGTCAGATAAGAGTTAAATCCACACAGAAGTCTTTCCATTTTTTGCTATTGTCCCTGCCCTCTCAGGGCTTGATTTAGGTCGTGCACCCTCTTTCTCCTGAGCTGTATTGACCCGGTTCTGCTCTGTCATTGTGCCACCAGACACAGGGCTGCTAGCTCTGGAGATCTGAGCGTTTTTTGTGTTATATGTCTGAAACGCCATGTCAAGTTGTTCCTGAGCTACTCGTAAATGGTGGTGCAGTGTAGCCAGGTCAGAGGGAATGTTCTCATCAGGACTTGTGCAATGCTGTTCAGGCAGCACTCTGGGCATGTTCTGCTCCTGTAGGATGATGCTGTTGGGAATGCGACCCGGTTTGTCAGATTTAACCACCAGGTTGTACCCTGGCGGAGAACTAGAAATGTTCCTGGAGTAAGGGTAGCCGTATGGAGGTTGTTGACCATGGCTTCGACGTTTACGAAGAGTGTCACGGAAGGCACCAATCCCCAAGTGGAACATCTCACAAACATTGAGCAGCAGACAAAGACAGCTCACCACATACATGATGAGTAAAAAGATGGTCTTCTCGGTGGGTCGTGAGACGAAGCAGTCTACTCTGTGCGGGCATGGGATCTTGTTGCAGACATACGAAGGGTTAACACGGAAGCCGTAAAGGAGATATTGACCCGTGAGGAACCCCACCTCAAAGATGGCACGGGATAAAAGCTGAAGCACATACATCCTCATCAAGCCTTCTTGCATGATCCTACGGCGGCCATCATGCTTCGCTGGATCTTGGCTTTTGCCCTTGTCTGTCTCTGGTTTGACCTCCTGCTCATCCAAAGTGTCTTCTTCATAGATCATTGGCTCGGCGTCATCTTCCTCCAAGACCTCCTCACGGTGGTGTCCATTTCTCCACCGACTGTGGCGATTCCTCTTTTGATAAATCTGGTTTTTGCACCGCTCCTCCTCCGAGGTACGGGCGATCTTATGGATGGCATAACCCAGATACATGACGGAGGGGGTGGATATCATGATGATCTGGAACACCCAGAACCGGAC